AACAGCGCAGCGTGATTCTAACGCGTGGAATGATGAAATTTCAATTCAACGTCGTCAGTACTATCTTCAGTATTCTACAGCTCAGCATATCACAACACAAACCCTCTCTATAAATACCCCTTTTGCGGTCCCTCATCTTTCCATTCCCTCTCACTCTTCCGTTACCTTCGTTTCCTTCATTTCCCAAAACGCCCTTTCTCTGCACAATTCCAAATCTCTCCTTCTCCCACACCAACCATTTCCCCACTTTTCGCTTCCCTCCTCTTCCAATTCCCCCAACAAACACCAATTTCGCTTCCCTCTTTCTTTCTTCCTCATCCTTCTCTTCGAAATTAGGCTTCGCTAGGGTTAGGTTTTCGGTGAGAATATGAGGTTGAGGGAGAACGACGACGTTGGTGAGAAAGAGGAAGTGGTAGAAAATGATGTAACCCTGGCCCAAAATCAATGGTGTCCCGTCGTGAATGCGGGCTTTTCTTCGCCCAAAAGAGCGGTTGTCGTTGGTTATGCTCTTACTACTAAAAAGATTAAGAGCTTTCTACAGCCTAAGCTTGAAGGTTTAGCTAGGTAAACCGAAAGGGAAAACTGTTAATTGATTCATCATCCTGTCTTGTTGCGATTTAATTGTTTTTTAAGGAAAACGAATTAACTGGAACTAATTGTTTCCTCCTCGGATAAGCTCCTTTAATGAATTCAAACCAGAGGATTTTTCCTGTCTGCTTATTTTTAAATTTCAATTAAGAGGTTTTTCCAAGGCGCGTCGTTTTCGTTAGGTTGGCGAGAAAGCGAAAGGAAAACATATGTGATCCTCGGAGAATCTGTTGAGATTGGCAAGATATTTTGCCAATTTTTGTTGTTTTACGGAAAATATAGGAAACGTTTTTCTTTCTGAAAATCTTGTCTAAGAGCCTACTGTCAAATTCTGCATACATGGATCGTACTTGTACCTGTTTTGTTTTAATGTGTCAACCCTGTTTTATGGTTCAATAATGTTGTCCTTTTACCTTCATAATACGACGGTGTTGCGGACCTTGGTTTGTTACTGATTTCAATTTGTACGAATTTTCGTGCAGGAACAAGGGAATACTATTCGTGGCTATTGACCATACCAGGCCTCTTTCAGATCAAGGTCCTTTTGATATTGTCTTGCATAAGGTTATAATTTCAACTCCTCTGAATTTCCTCATCCTCTCTCTCAAATTATTTCTGTACTGCTTGTTACCCGCTCGTAACTCATGTAAAATTCGATGTATTGTGCTAACTGTTCTTGGTTCCATGTCAAATGCTCAAATGATACCTGTTCTGTTCAACTGTGGCTGATTCCTCCATTTTGTTTTATGGATAATGCAGTTATCAGGGAAAGAGTGGCGCCAGGTTCTTGAGGTTTGTCCCCACCCACCACCCACCGCCTTTTCAGCACGTGTTTTTACTTTTAGTTGTGCTGATAAGTCCAAATCATAATAATTATGCTTGCTGCTTGTGTTGTTTCTTTATGCATTTGATGCTAAGTGAGATGTAAAAGGAAATCGGTGGAAAGCTGGTCAATGACTAGCTTTTTTAACTTGCTCTCTGGCATAATTTGCAGAGTGATTGTTCCCATGTCTCATTATGAATCATGAACCAGTAGTTGAGGTCGAGGCCTCAAGGTTCCTGCAAGTGAGGATGTCGCTACTTTCATGGCCATCTAGCTGAGTTTGTCAGGTTTTTACATGGCAAATAATTTCCAAAAACTTTTCCCTTTTGAATCCGTTTAAGTGGGTTCCTTTTTTCCGGGTGTGCCAAGATAGACTTCTGGCTAGTTAAGAGAGAAAGAGAAATTGTTATTTCCGTTCGTAAATTCTTGTTTATTTTTTTTTATTTTTTATATACTTCTAAGCTGGATATGGGAGTTATAATGACCCAAATTTGCAAGTTACGGCTCTTCGTTTTCTGATCAGGGGACATGAATTGTGGCGACTGTCTAATGCATTTCACTAACAGTGATTGCTGCCCGGCCTATGATAATACTCCTCGACACATATGCGTGTTTCTACAAGTCTATAATTAATTACACGAGTTTATAGCAAGTTTGAATATGATTCAAGAAAACTACAATCGTATACCTTGTGCTGTAATAATAGCTGCTTCACACACTGTGCTTCATTACTTAATAAATGATTCTGTATTTTGATTTTCGTATTTTAATATGGATTTTTCTGATTATAGCTACAATATTGAAAAGACCAATATAATCAACTGATCATTATCAGATTTTTGCATTATCATTTCAAATTTACTAATTTGTGGCATGTAGATTTTTTATCATTTTACTCTAGCTTTACTTTCTGCATTATATGCTTTTTATTTTGGTACAAATATCATCAATGCTGAAAATTCAACCTATAGTTTTCATAGTATTTGTGGAAATTATTGGTACTTTGCACTTTTAATCTTTTACATGATGTATAGTGGATAAAATGTCAAATACAACAGTCTCTGTTTGTTCATTGCTTTGAACCGCAAGTTATTTCATGGGCTGTAGCATTCCTAAAAAAAATATCCATAATTGCTATGATGTCTTTTATATTTAATGTATTTTTTTTAAATGCTTATAATAAAAGAGATATGATGAAAATTATTATTTATGCTCTAAAAGTAAAACATTTGTATTGAGAAGATATATTTCTCGATGATTGGGACATGTGTCAAGTATAGATGCTCATTGACATAGAAAGAGGAAGGAGATCTGCAGATATGAAAGTGAACAAAGAATAGTGTGGTAGTGTCTTGATGTGGTGGATGCAGGTTCTTTGTTTGGAAGCCTGAGAAAAAGGATACTTGTAAAAATTAAGGCAAACATATTGTAGTCTACATAATTTGTTGAACTCACTATTTAATATCATTAAGATTGCACATTTCTAAAAGGCTCGGACGTTGCATTTTAGAGTTTGTTGCAGTGTATTCTGAAGGGAAAATCAATGTTGCCTGTTTCTTGTGAGAGCCCTTTATAACTTTAGGAGAAACTGAGAACTGTACTAGGTTTCTTTTTTTATGAACTAATATTCTTGAGGAGAAAAAATGTTAAACCTACTCATGTTTGGCTATTTAATTTACAGCCTATTCCACGTATCTATTTTTACAATATTTGGAGAATTGGGACCTCCTTTTCTTAGCTTTTAAACTTGTTGACATATTTCAGGATTATAGGCAGTCACATCCTGAAGTTACTGTTTTGGATCCTCCAGATGCCATACAACATTTACGCAACCGTCAGTATATGCTTCAGGCTGTGGCAGATATGAACCTTTCTGATTCCTATGGTATTTTTTTGTCTCTACCTTGATTTTAAATTATGTCTGCTATTCAGTGATGCTGCATGTTGAGTTACTAATAGCTAATGAGTTTTCTTGTTGAGTTATTAATAGCTAATGAGTTTTCTCGTATCATTCAGGCATCGTGGGTGTTCCTCGGCAATTAGTTATCAAGAGAGATGCATTTGCCATCCCAGAGTTGGTCAACAAAGCTGGATTGACTTTACCCCTTGGTATGTATATGTTGGTTTTTCAACTACTTTTAGATGCTGCAGTTATGCGATTTCTCAGAGCATGGACGCATGGACATTTATTGTTACGAGGGTTGTGTTTTTGAGGCAAAGTCATTAGAACTTATGAAAATAGGCATGGTAATCCCATTTATTTTTGTGTCTGATCCTATCACTTAATTCTGTATTGCTTAATTTGAACTTTCCTTCTTATGTTTGCAACTTCAAAATCATTATAGTTGCAAAGCCACTAGTTGCCGATGGAAGTGCAAAGTCCCATGCATTATCCCTTGCTTATGAGCAATTTTCCCTTCAAAAACTTGAACCTCCTCTTGTTCTTCAGGAGTTTGTCAACCATGGTAAGCAATTGTTGTATATTTATCTATTTTTTACCCTTAAATGTTCATAAGTACATGTGCATTATGATAAAGTGAATGAGGTATGGTACTTATTGTTTGTGTAGGAGGTGTTCTCTTCAAGGTTTATATAGTTGGTGATGCTATAAAGGTAGTAAGGCGGTTTTCGTTGCCTGATGTTAGCAAGTGGGAACTGTCCAAAGATGCTGGAATATATAATTTTCCAAGGGTTTCGTGTGCTGCAGCTTCTGCAGATGACGCAGATCTGGATCCTACTATTGCTGGCAAGTTTATCTTTACATTCTTGTTTGGATGGATGTAGAGCGTTTGTAGTATGGGTTCAGGCATCCAGAGCTAATAAGATATTTATGCTTCTACAGATTGAAAGTCCTAACGGCTAAACTGCATTCTAGTCTCCTGATTTTCTTTGTCAATTTTTCTTCTTGCAGAGCTTCCCCCAAGGCCTTTACTAGAGAAACTAGCTAAGGAACTTAGATGGCGATTGGTAACCTGCCCGTTCTTTTGTTATTTAGGTTTCATGTTGTTGATACAAGGACTATAATATGCTCTTATTTGCATTATTCTTACTCTAGGGTCTTCGTCTATTCAACCTGGATATTATCCGTGAGTATGGAACAAGAGATCACTTTTACGTCATTGACATAAATTACTTCCCTGGTAAATACTCGAGATCTTTTATCTTTGAGAGATGACATCAACACAGTTTTGTGATTACTATTATTGTTTTTTTTTATGTTCCTTATGTCCATGAAATCCCATACCCTATTAAAAGATGGTGTAACCAAATAAGATTTCACCTACTAATAAAAAAGGTGTTGAAAAGATAGTATATCAAGAGAGGTCATTTACAATTATCAATTTTGATATTTCTTTTCTTAGTTCATTTTGAATCATCTCACCTTATCTGGTATCTATACAGCTTTATTCAACTTGTAAGCAAAATGGCTAGTCTTAAGTTTGGTGAGCATATTAAGATTTCTTTTAAAATTATTCACCGTTTAAAAGTTGCTGTTGCAGGATATGGCAAAATGCCTGAATATGAACACATATTTACGGACTTCCTATTGAGCCTGGGGCAGGGGAAGTACAAGAAAAGATCAGGCTAAAATAAATCCTTTTGGCCCTTTCATTTATGCCCTCTCATCACGTAAGCACGTTAGCCTCTACCCAGTCAGTTTGAAACTTAAACTAATGGCTCTAGGAAGGTATCTTGGTAAAAGCATTAATGTTAATAATTTTTGCAGTTTCGCTCTGTGTGAGAAGTCCGGGGAAAAACCTATGAAGACTTGTGTTTCGGGAACTTGGACCTGTACAGAACAAGTGCTAGTATTTTTATTTTGAGGAAACTTTGTGGTTCCCTTCCAAAGTAACGAATGTTGTTGCAAATCCCGACCAAAGAAACGAAGGGGTCAATTTGAAGGCACCTCAGTGGATGTTGATATGACCATGCTAGATAAGTTGACGGATTTCAAATGTACTGACCGTTCTTTGCTGTATATAGGCATAAATACTTGACACTGGAATCCAAACCAAATTTTAATCAAACTGCATCTTTATGCTCTTCAAATTTAATGCCTCATCTTCTATATTCTCATACATTATGTCCACCAACCCCTTCCTCCTCTTTCTTTTTGTATTATTAACTAAGCCTTCAATTTAAAAGTAATTTTAAATGACTTTTATCTTGTTTTCTCTCAATGAATGCCCGAAAATGTAATTTTGTATTGTATTATTCTTTTAACTTTTCTCTTTATTTATTCAACCCTTTTTCATTCCTAACTTTTTACAATTTTCCCTTGTATGTCATCTCATCAAACTTCATATTTTAGACTCCTTTGAAAAAGACGGTTAATTTTTAAGCACTTTCTTTTTAATTGGTTTCATAATACAATTTATGATAAGTTGTTTACATCAAATACCATTGTTGATTTTATATAATAAGTTTACGTGTTACCTTTGTCTGAATTGATATAAGATATGATTAGTGATTGGGTAATACGTTGGCAATGCCAAGACTTTGGGCAAAAATGTAAAGGGCTCCCTATGCTTTAGCTCTTTGATTTTGAAAGGAAATGTAAATTCTGATAGAATTTAAAACACTGTATAAAAGCACTGTCTTGGATACTGCACAGATATTTAAACTTTCGAATTTAAATAAAATATCTTAATATTTGAAAGCAAATAATTAAGGATTCCGTCAAGACAGAACTCCTCTACAATTAATGCCATTTTCTTTTAAACTATAGACAGTAGAGGGAAAGAGACCTTAGATAATTCAACCATTTATCTAATCACTGACTTAAAGTATTTCTTAGATGAGAATCTTCACACAATTAATAGTAAATAAAATTGTATCCACACATATTTGTGTGATAATTAGGCAAATAAACTGTTGTTTTTATATACAAGAATTTGAGTAGTAAGATAACCAAAATTATACCAATTACATAAAATAATTAAATAGTTGGTATGTACAATAAAATAGGTGTTATATGATGAATAAGATCTTGAAATTTAATTTCGTTAAATTTCTTAATATATAATTACTACACATTTCTGTTCAATTCAAATTATGATATTATCGACCAATAAAATTATTTAATCAAGTCAAATATTTAAACTCCTTTATTATCCCTTGTATTATTTTAACATATTTACTTTCTATAAGAACTTTTTTAAATAATCAATCCTCTTTACCTTGTCCTAAATATATAAACATTTAATTGTCTCCTTCCACTGATAACTTAAAAAAAAATACAATTGAAATTATAAATTCATACAATTGCTCTATTTTTTAACGCAAGTATTAAATATAGAAAAAAACATTAATTGAATAAAAAACAAATAAAGTAACCAATTACATTAAATCCTAAGAAAAGTAAAAACTTTGCTACTCATAACCATCGAGAAATATTTGAAAGAGGAGCTTTTTACGGTCTCAAATGTCTAAGGAGGCATTAAGTATTTTTCATGATGGACTATAAATAGAGACGTTTAAATTATCTAAAAAAAAATAAAATCGGTTAAATACTAAAAAAGAATTTTTACTTTCTTCTGAACCTTAATTTAAGCTACCCAAGATAGGTGGCTTAGGTGCTTATTGAATCCACATGTTAAAAGTAAAATCGTAAAAAAAAACAACAAAACCCTTCATTGGCACACAAATCATGAACATAGTTGATTGAAAATAATGCAGATTTAAAAATTTTCTCAGCTGAGACATCTATTAGCATCATTTAAAAAGTAAAAAGCAATTGTTTTAAAATTTTCTTAAAAATGTATAAATAAATTATTATTCTTTTAAGTAAATTCAATGAAAAATAAGGTAAATTTGGTAATAGAGACCACAATTAACACAAATATATTACCATACTAGTAAGTTTTAAAAATCATAAAATACAATATATAGCTATAATGTAAAACCAGTGTAAATTTAAAATAATGTTACGACTGTTTTATTTTTTATTTTTTACAGATTACAAATCTTTAATCTGAAAACTAATGATTTAAACTAGTGCTTTAGGTAAGTAAAGATGATTATTTATTTACCATTATAATATGTTCATTTGCATTTATATAGAAAGAATAATGTCATTTGCTTATCATACTAATGAGTAATGATACATTAAAACTCATTTAAATCTCCCGTAGTAGTTATATACTTCTATTATACCGTATCACTTGTGGTTCAATTTCTATAAGAATTTGCTTGACTTATTATAACTTGAATCAAGTTCGATGTAAATTTTTTTTAGAACTTGATTCGATTCAAATTTACAAACAGCTCAGTAACCCAATTAGCTTCAAAATTTTGATTAAGTCACATTTTATTTTCACATCATTCAAACAAAAAATAATTAATTAAAATTAAGCACATGAATTTATTTTTTATACATCTTTTTTTTTATGTATATATAACAGTAATAAAGAGATTGAATCATCATTTGGTGTACACAGTTACTTCTTATTTTATTCTTAAATATTTCACAATTACTTTTCTGATTAATTTTTCTAACTTTTTTTAATATATTTTTTCATGAATTTATTTTTAATATTTAAGTAATAATTTTATAATTGAGTTTTTACTTATATTAAATTAATTTTTATCATCGTAAAAATGTGGATACTGATGTTGTGTTTCCACCTGATTACATGTATAATCAATTTATGAACCAATCGAGTCAATATATTAATAGGAATCTAATAATTTATTTGCTCACTCTTCTCAAATTTTAAATTAATTCCTTATCGGTGTCCGTTGCAAAAGGTAATGATATGTTCACAAATGGGATGGGTATGACATATAGGGTCGATTAGATCCCCTTACATCAGTTGACACTCATTTTCTATTGCAAAATTATAGAATTGAGTCTCAAACTAATTCAACAAATTTCGTGTTCTTTACTGGTCTACTTATGACTCTCTTTCTTTTATTTTTTTATACATGCGTAAGAATAGCCAAAGGAGAAGAGAAACAAGGGAGAAAAAATGTGTTAAAACTGTAATAAGAAAACTAGTGCAGAAAGACTTTGTCTGCTCAAAATCAGAAATACAAAGATTTAGGAAGTTGCAAAATGTTGTTCCTGAAGTGTGTTGAAGAGCGTCTGATTTTAGTCTAAAAAAATTATGTATATTAATCAAATTCTCAAAACCTAACCAATTAGTTCGCGAAATAATCCAATTCTCTATAACGCAAGCTCACAGTACCTGAGAGATTTAATTCATCCAAAACAAATGCACAGCAAATGATGAAGGTTTCATTTGAGACGTAAACACGAAACATAAGATCGAATGGTTAAACAGTAGCAAGCATCAGGCTGGAAGAAAACAGAGAAAGAAAGAAACGTGAAAACGACGAAGTACCGATTGAGTAGCTATGCAGAGGGAGGCGGAGGAGCGACGGGAGCAGCAGAAGCGTCGGCGGGAATAACGAGAGTCCAATCAGGAGGAAGAGGAGGCAGAGGATCGTACACAGTACGCTTTCGGTTTATATCCCATGGCTGCGACTTCCGCGGCCGAGTCTTCATGTGATGCGCCGTGGCTTTCTTCTTCGGCCGAGACGAACACACTATCGTCAATCCTCCGTCGCTTCTCTTTCCGATTCCCAGTGCTTGTGGTGGGGCCATCACCACTCCGCACCCGAACATGCTAGACAACGACGACATTCTTCTCTCTTCTCTTCTCTCTTCTGTTCTTTCTCAAACACTCATCTCTTACCGGTTTATCCCTCTAGATATTTTTCTCAATCTTCCCAAATTATCCTTCAGCTTCGTGTTACAAGGGCCACATTATGTTAAAGCCCACCTTACAAACCAAAAGACTTCCTTTTAGGCCCAAATGCATTTACCTTTTTTCTCTTCACGTGTTTTATTGGGCCGTTAGCCTTTTCTTTCTATGTTTTTGGGCTTCACCTTCTAAAAAATATACGAGGTTGCAGACACCCTTTGCTGAAGTTAATCCATGATTTGATAACTACATAAAAAGTGTGAATCACCATCTAAGATTGTAATGATGAATTAAATTTATTTTTTAACTAAGAGAATAGTAAACTGATCTCTAAAATTTCTAATTAATATTAACGAGCTCTCTCTTAAATTATATATGAACAATCAATTTAATAATTTGTTATTTGCTGGTGTTATTAAATATTGCCAAAATAAGCGGTGAAATAACAATCAAATTATACTTCCCTACGTCTTTCTTCTTATTGTCCACTAATTTGGCGTTATCTTTAACTTATTCATTTAGAAAATGTTGCCAAAATTTTAATGATAAACTAAGTTGTACTGAATAATTATTTTTAACCTGTTCATTAGCTCATTAAAAAAAACATTTTATCTCTACAAGTGATTATAGAATAGTTTATTCATGTGTCATTAACAGAGGAAATTGGACATGTTTAAGAATTATAAAGGTTTTGTTTCTTAATTTAATTATGCATGTTTCACACAACTTAATTTTTGGAGTTACTGTGTTTACATTTAAAAAAAAAAAAAGATAGATAAGAATTAAAAGGCAAATGAATTATTACTTTACTAATATTGAGTCAGTTTTACACTTATGACACAATAATAGCACACGTTCTATGCTACTTAAGCAATAAACA